TGACATCTGTGCCCCTCATGGCTCTCTTTTACAAACAACTTTTCTAGAACACTGGAGGTAAATTCAGAACTAAGAGTTCATGTGAGAAGAAGTGTAGCCTGAAATAATTTGTCCTGCTCCACAATTTCTGCCTAGAAAACACAGTAGAAATGGTCTCCCAGAAGTTCTCATTATCTGTGCATAGTGTATGGCTCCCTGGGCTAACATCCCTGCATCCCTGCATGATACATAAGAATGTTCTGATGTGTCTGAAACACAACAGTGCATTGTCCCATTCATCCTGCTCCAACAATAACCTCTCAATAGCTGTTTCCCTGGGTGGAGGCTTTTGGTGCGTCTTGTGATCTGCATAAATGGCGGTGCTAAGGGACCCTCTGTGGAAAAGAAACCAGCTCCTTGTTGAGCAGAGAACCTGCATGTGTAGGAGGAGAGGGGGTGGTGGGGAGAGCAGACAAGTAGAGCTTTTTCTGTCTGAGAAACACTCATTGATTGCAAAATAATGTTGTGATTAGAGTCGTTCTGCAGGGCAGAAACGAAGAGGCTGGGGTTTCTTTTGTGAGTCAGGGAGAGATGTCGCGAGGAATGGGGAAACGAGAGTGCTGCTAAAGTGCGGGCAGAGACAAAGCATCTTGCCCAGGAGAAACTGCAGCCAAAGCTGTGGATTCCTCTACCAAAAGAGAGCAAAGGAGACTCATTGCTTTTTTCTTTTATCAAGCCAAAACAGAGCATGCAGAATAGGTGAGATGGTATCTAATAACTGTTGCCCAGAAGTGTTGTCGTGGCTGCATATCCAGAAGCGCGTTCCAGTTTTAAGAAAATGTACCTTTGGAAGAAGTCCAAGTTGATGCCTGCTTGGCTGGATAGCTTGTTCTAAGGGAATGACTAATGATTAGAGCTTTCCCACCACCAGACTTTTCTTCACTTCTGTGTTAGTGAAAGGCATGAGGCCTCTGTGTAGTTCATGTGTGACTCATATGTATTTGTGCTGAAAACCTGTGATTCAAGTGCAGTTACATTGCCCAATGGGCAGATAGAAATTTTCAGTCATGAGGCCTGCATCTAGTTCATGTGTGGCTTATATGTCAGAACAGGACATGGACCTTGGACGCGTGACTGAGACCTGGGTGCGACACGGGGAGTCGGTAGCACTCTCCCAGTTAGCTCCTCCCAGTTTCTCAGTCCTCCACCAATCCCGGACTAAGGTGCGGGGGGGGGGAGTGCCTCTGTTCATTCGGGAGGCTTACTCCTTCAGAGTGCTTCTGTTGCCGAAGCTCACGGGCTTAGAGTGTGCCGGCTTTGTATGGGCTGTACCATGGTCGGACCACCATGTTCTGAAGGCCCGTGTGAACAGCCTACTCCGACCCTGTTTGGGCGGCGAGCATATTTTAGCTTGCCCATGGAGCCAAATGGACCCTCAGTGCTCAGATTGCCTGGAGGCATAGGCTAGGGTGCCACCAATACGCGGATGACACCCAGCTATATCTGTTGTTGGGTGGCCAGTCCGACTCTTCCCCAGAGGACCTGGATCGGGTGCTTCAGTATATGGCGGGCTGGCTTAGATTGAGCCAATTGAAATTGAATCCAACGAAGATGGAGGTCCAATACCTACGTTGGAGCGGTTCGGGGTTAGGGATCCCACTACCGACCTTCGATGGGGCACCGTTGGTGCCAGCACCGAGGATCAGCAGCTTGGGAGTGCTCCTGGACGCTGTCAGATATTCCAATAACTCAATAACAAAACACAGGACCTAATCAGGTTCAGTTTATTGATCAGAGCAGAGAACACTCCATGAACTTCGGTGTTAGAAATAACATAAGATGAGCGGGCGAAACAGTTATACCCCATTCGTACAAGACCCCCTGATGAGCAGAGGCCAATGAGCAAACACCTGCAAGCGCGGGGAAACGCTAACGGACCCAGTGAGGGCGGGAGGCTGGCAAAGGAGGCAGGACGGAGAATCCAGGCGCTCAAGGCCACGGAGAGATAACAAGGCAACAGGGAGAAGGCAGCTGCTGGGAAAAGGGGGGGTGGCAAAGCGCACAGCCCACACATTCCACCACAGGAGACATCCCATGGCGGTGTCAACCGACAGACGCCACCTTAACAATGGAGGCCCAGATAGCAGCCACTGCCAAGGCAGCCTTTTACCATCTACGGCTGATTAGGCAGCTGGTTCCCTTCCTTGAACGCAATGACCTAGCAACGGTGATCCACGAAATAGTCACCTCGAGATTGGACTACTGCAGTGCTCTCTACACGGGGCTGCCCTCGTCCGAAATCTGGAAGCTGCAACTGGTGCAAAACGCAGCAGCCAGGCTGCTGATGGGTCTCTCTATATGAGAGCACTTCATGCCTGTGCTGAAGGCATTGCACTGGCTGCCAGTAGCATACCGGATTCGGTTCAAGGTGCTGGTTTTGACCTTTAAAGCCCTATATGGCTGGGGGCCTGCCTACCTGAGGGACCGCCTTTCCCCACATGTCCCCCAGAGAGCACTGAGGTCAGGGACCCAAAACCGCCTGATTGTCCCTGGTCCAAAAGATGCTAGACTGGCCGTCACCAGAGCCAGGGCCTTCTCAGTGGTGGCTCCATACTGGTGGAATGAGCTCCCGGAAGACACCAGGGCCCTGCGGGACCTTTTACAGTTCTGCAGGGCCTGTAAGACGGAGCTCTTCCACCAGGCCTTCGTTTAGGAGCTGCCACTGAGGATTGAGTGCTGGAAACTGAACCATCAAGACCCCCATGCTAAATTATTGGCATTAAGACAACTGGACACTGGCCTACTTATAGCGGCCCATTTACAGTAAACGCCATCTCCACCAATCGCCCTTTATGTATATTATGGTTTGAAATTTTTTTGCTATGCATTTACGCATTTGTATTTTATTGCATTTTAGTCTGTGCATGCATTTTAGTCTGTGCCCACATTCTGCTGCATGCATATGTGCTGAAAAGCTATGATTCAAATTCAGTCTTATTGCCCTACCTTCATACCTGTGTGGGGCAGAGATCCAACCAGTGCCACGATTGCCTGTTCTGTGGAGCCAAAATGGCTACAAAAACCCAGATCTGATAGCTTTTTAAAAATCTGTTTGTGTCTCTGAGTCTTTGGTATTATGTTTTGGCATAAGAAGTGCTCCTGTTAACTGAAGAGTGTAAGAATCACAGAAAGAGAGTGTCTTTATCTAATCAGCATGCCAAAAGGTTATAGATACTGCTTTGCAGATTTGTCAGTGAAAAGACCAATGGTGCAGGGGAAAGGAATCTTTAATTATTGTATAACCCCTACATGTTTTGTGTGCCGCTTCATCAGGGCTGCTTCCATGTGCCTATTTAGGGCCTTTCCAAATGATGTTCCAAATGTGGTGGCTTGTTTGATAGTAACATTTGGGGGATGCAAAGTGGTAAGTTCTGTTATTCTAAATTTCACTGGGTTGGAGCCTGTGCAGTGCCCACAAAAGGAGCTAGTGGAGCTGGATTTTTCCTACCTTCTTCTCTCAACAGCTCCCCGTGAGTGCCAATATTGAAGACTGGGAGGCCCATGTGGACAAAATTGCATGCAACATAAATGGCTGCAGTGAGGAGAGAAAGCAGGAGAAATTCACCTTCTCTACACCAGTACAAGACTGCTCATGGAAGATGCCTGAGGGATGATTCCTCCCCCCCCCCCAAACCTGAATGTTTTGCCCCTGTGGTTCCCCCAACTGTCAGCATTGCCCTTTTTTGGCATTCACAGCAGGCTGCAAGGCTAAGAGAAGAATGGCATAAGACACTTCCTTTAGGGCCTTATATTTGTGGCATATAGGATCCAACCCACTGAATTAACTGGGTAACACGTGCAGCTAGGAAATGATTCTCAAGTTAGATTATAAGAATGGGGACAGATTTATCCAGATAAGACGGAGGCAGTGCAGGTCGGTAAAGTGGTAACTTTGGCAGGGATTGTCCTACCCACCCTGGACAGTACAAGGCCTGAACGTGACCACCTCTGTAAAGAGCTTAGGAGCATTAATGAATCCTGTCCTTTCATTAGAAGATCAGATAAAAGCACTAGCCAAGAAAACTTTCTATCAGCTGCATCTGAGGTGGAAATTATCTCCCCTGCAGGCTCGGAGGCAGGCCCGGCATCCGCAACCTCGGGTCCCTCAGAGCAGCCAGCGGGGGATTGGGGGTACACGGACTGGGAGGAGGGATGCCGGAAATGAACACAACACGCCTACCTAGCCCGGAAGTTACATAGGCGCGCGCGTGTGTGTGTGTGTGGGGGGGATGCTCTGGCTTTTGGCCAAAACTCTGTGTGTAGAAACCCAGTGAAATGTAGAATAACAGAACTTACCACTTTGCGTCCCTCAAATGTTACTATCAAACACGCCACCACCTTAGAGAGGCTTTCCTGAGCCCTGCTGAGATGGGGGATCATTTGTCAGGTGTTTCAGATTGGGGGGGGGGCTTGGTTGCAAGGACCACATGTGCAAGTAGCTTCTAAAATGTCCAATAATGCATCAAGAAAAAAACATGTAAACAGAGGCTGTAAAAGACTTTGTGTGTATTGGGATAGAAAAGGGACAGCGTGGTAGAAAGTGGAGGGGCATTTTACCAAACAGAAAGAGCTTCTGCACTGTGTTATTCTTGGTAGAAGTGTGTGCTGTTTGAGAAACAGAAGGGTTATTGGTGAGAAGACCTTTCTGCAAGATGAAAGGTTACTGCCAATTTCTTCTGGATGCAAATTACATAGTGGTTCAAGTGACTCCTGTACATATTATGTGGCGGTGGAATGTAATAGCACTGGAGGATGGAGTCGGTGCTGGGATAAAAGCTTTTTGTTGGTTTTGGTGGGGGGTTTTGGTGGGAGGAGGGAACATCATTTGGAAAGGCCCTAAATAATTGCTGTTGGCTCTGAACAGGCACATGGAAGCAGCCCTAAGACCGCAGTGCTCGTGAAGAAATGTCTAAAGCTTGTTTAACACTAACCTTCCTTTGGTCTCTCTCCTATGTGCCCAGCGTGTGCCAATTTCTGAGTCGTTGCCAGAGCCCAGGAGGAGGCTTTGGAGGGGGACCGGGCCAGCACCCGCATCTTGCGCCAACGTACGCAGCCGTCAATGCTCTCTGCATCATTGGCACGGAAGAGGCATACAGTGTTATTAACAGGTATAGGGTGGGGCCCCATGAACCTTTCCTTTAAGAGAAGATGCTGGATACTGAAAGCATCCCTGCCAGTTGTCTAAGTCCTGTTCTTCAACTTTCCCACTTGCTGAGGAGAGGGAGGGCAGTGGATAAACTGGCAGGATGCCGGAAGGGACTTTGCCATAATATGCTGTGTGATATCTCTATCTCAGATCACTTCCTCCTGCAACAGAATTCCTTGCAGCTTCCTAGTGCTCCCTGGGAGACTAGATGAAGCCCTAGAGTCTGATCTAGGGCTTCCACTACGGAGAGATTTGGAGGGCAGAGTTTGGGGAGGGTGTGGGGCATCACTTCCAGCCAACAATCTAGGCTGCCTCCCCTAGACTCTATGGTCATAGAGACTGGGTGAAATTCCTGGACATTACTATCTGAAGGCCGTTCCTGAGGATATAAAGTGGGATAGGACGGCTTTATAAATAAAATAAATAAAAAAGTAGTATCCACAAGTGGCAAGAAGGAGTAGCTTCATCTTGCAGGCGGTTTTATGATGTCTATAAATGCTGATAAGCAGATAACTGTTTGAACATACAGCAACCACTAAAAACAGGTTACCACCAAAACAGAACCTCAGAAAGATATGGACTGCTCTGCTAAGGAAAACATAAGAGGACATTGCAGGGAAGGATGTAGCGGAAGAGAGGCAAAGTGCAACTCCCTAACTCAGAGAACGGGCAAACAATGACATGTTGCCCAAAGAAGCCACATGGATTCTGGCTGGATTGTAAAGTTCCTGCCTCTGAGTTAACCCCCCCCCCCCCCCAATTCTGGGGTGTCCTCATTGTTCTGCCTAATAGTCTTGATTTTGTCTTCTAGGGAGAAGCTTCTGGAGTATCTGTCTTCCCTGAAGCAGCCTGACGGCTCCTTCATCATGCACATAGGAGGGGAAGTGGATGTCCGGTATGTTGAAAACATTCAAAAAGGTCTCAGAGGTCAGAGAATGTTACAAGATTCCGGCAGCTCTGGCAGAGTCACTGAGGGGCCTGCTGTCACAGTCACTCTTGTTCTGACATATTGTGCAAGGCAGCTTGAAGAGAGTTTCTGGCTTTTAAAGTTAGGAAGATTATGATTATGTTTGTTGTTGTTCAGTCGCACAGTCAAGGCCGACTCTTCGCGACCCCATGATGGACCACATCCCGCCAGGCTCTCCTGTCTTCCGTCGTGCTCCGGAGTTTGCTTAATTTCATGTTCGTTGCCTCGACAACACTGTCTAACCATCTCATCCTTTGCCTTCCCCTTCTTCTTTGGCCTTCAGTCTTTCCCAGCATCAGGGTCTTCTCCAGTGAGTGTTCCCTTCTCATTTGGTGGCCAAAGTATTTGAGCTTCACCATCTGGCCTTCCAGGGAACAGTCAGGGCTGGTTTCTTTTAGGATTGACTAATGTAGAACCACAACTTGCTTCTCAGCATTGCAAGTTACATTGAACAAGCAGGAACCTGCAAGAGCTTGCAAGGGGGTGTCCCATTTCCTCTTTCTCTACTATTTCCTCTCTCCCTGAAAGCTCCCATAGCCTCTCCCCTTTTCCTGCTTCCTTCTCTCTTTCCCACCCAGCAGCCAACCTGCCCCTCTGTCTTCAGCTCCCTCCTCCGGAAGCCTCTACCTAGGAAAACTGTGGCACAGTTGTGTGGTGAAAACTGCTGGGCCAGGCCCACTTGCATAGTGGGGGGGGGGCACTTGCATAGTGGGGGGGCATATCACCTCCCCGTATTATTTCCCCTTTCCCTCCTCCTGGCAACCCCCATATTCTCTCCCCTTTCCCTGTCTCAGTCTCTCCTCCTCAGCTTTTCACCAACATACTTTTTTTTCTGCCTCCTGGCTTCATCTATATTTATTATCTACCCCACTTTTCTCCACAGTAGCAACCAAAGTATCTTATATCATTCTACTCTCCTTTTTATCCTCATAACAAACCTGTGAGATAGGTTAGGCTGAGATTATGTGGCTGGCCCAATATCACCCAGTGAGCTACCATAACAAACTGGTGATTTGAACGTGGGTCTCTGAGACCCGCTTTCGTTGGGTGGCTGCTCTTGAACAGCCTAGTTCAGCCCTGGCCTAGTTCAGTCATGCAGGTCAGGTGGTATCAAGTCACCCAGTGATTGTTGCCAGGCTCAGTATCCTCAGATTTGGCTGACTTTACTGTTAGAATTGGAATAGATGATGATATTGCTGACTTGCCCCTCCAGTGTCAGCCAGGCCTGGCTGCCGTGGGAGTGGGGATGACACTGGGGTGTTAAGCTTCAATTCTGCCGTGTCTTCTATGTTTCTATTATCTCTGTCTGACCCTCAGTGCCTGGTGTAGCATTTCTCTTGGGGGAAACTGGCCCGTTACTTTGGCGGGCTTCTGCCTGATCCCAGATTGGCCCTGGGTCATCAGGGGGTCCCCTTGAATGATGTATAACTGCTTACTGTGCACACTTTTCTTTAGTTCTAACACGAAATGGTTAAGATATCTGCATGCTGCCAAAGTCTCAATAAACTTTACTTCTTTGAATGAAAGCTGTTGGGAACTGATTGCTGCAGGAGTCTGACCAAGTGTTGGAACTCCTTTTTGTTCCCGGACTCATACCCTACCATGGCTGACGATGGTACCGGGAGCGTACTGGTTACCACTGGCGAGGAAGAGCTGATTACCACCACCACTGTGACAACCATGACCTCGGGCGCTGGACAAAGTAGATTAGGAAGATTCTGGTGAGAATCCTATTCCTCGTCTTACGCCCCAAGCTGCACTGAAGAGAGCTGGGCGACAACTCCTGACCCAAGGCTACCTGTGTACGAACGACGCCATGGCAGCCGTTACCTGGAAGAGTACGGGAAGGGGTCTAAGAGTGAGGAGATGCAGATCGAATGGGCACGGCAAAAACTCCTGGTGCAGAATGAGGAATTACGCCGGGACATGCAAGATGGTGTTTGATATTCCCCAGCTCATTGTGGATGCTGTGAAGCGTGAGGTGCGTGCACTCCTGCCCAGCGGGGAGAGAGGAAAAGACCAGGACACGCCGTGCGATGGGGCACAGGCTAAGGATCAAGTGGGAAGTGTCCCCATTCCTGTTAGCCCTTCGGGGGGGTGGGGTGTCCAGGTGATCAGCAGCCGGCTGGGCCGCCGGGTCCCCCGTGCCACTGGCACGATGCCCAGCCCCAATCAGCCCCGTGAAATGTTGGATGCCACTTTCAACAGGGATCCTGACAAGCTGACCTTCTTCCTGCTGCAAGTGCGCAGATTCCTGAGGGACTGGGGTCCTCGGTTTGCCACTGATGAGCACTGAGTGGATTTTGTTGCGCGGGTACGCTGTGGGGTTGGGCGTGGGGGGGGGGGGGGAGAATCCTGCAAAAGGGAGAGGACAGTAAACTCCCTGGCTTATGTCTAAGAAGTTCAATTCTACCAAGCACAATTGGGCGATTTGGGACAAAGAGGCTGCTGCTATTAAGCTAGCCCTTACTACCTGGAGGAATTGGTTAGAGGGGCCAGGGTACCTTTTGAGGTATGGACAGATCATAAAAACCTGGAAGCCTTGCGAACCCCCATAACCTCAATGCCCAGCAGCTCCTTTGGGTGGAGTTTTTCTCCAAGTTTTGTTTGACCCTTCAGCACCTCCCCGGATTTCTTGGCTGACGCCCTGTCACGCCTCCCCCAGCATGCCAGCCAAAGGGAGGAGGTGGTAGACTCTATGTTCACTCCTTCCCAGCTGGGAGGAGCGGTGGTGACAAGGAGTTGCGCCGCAGCTGAGAAGGGGCAGGAGGAAGAACCATGGGTGGCTAAGTTTAAAGAAGCTCTTACAGAAGGGGATAAGGCAGAAATTGCCAAAGACTCATCCCTCCAGCAAAATACAAATGGCTGTTGGTATTGGGGGGGGGGAGCTTTTTGTGCCATATGCTCTGCTGGGTCAGGTGTTGCATTTTGGCCATGAATCCAAACTTGCTGGACGTTATGGATATTTAAAGACTTTACATCTACTGCAACACCAGTTTTGGTGGTCGCACATGCGTGCTGACATTTCTCAATACGTGGGTTCATGCCAGACTTGCTTGATGGGAAAAAGATGACCTGAAAACCCCCCAGGAACTTTGCGACCTTTAGAAACCCCCAGTCGCTCCTGGGAAGTTATTTCCATGGATTTTATTATTGATCTACCGCCCAGTAAAGGATATACTGTGATCAGGGTTGTGATGGATTTGTTTTCTAAACAGGCTCATGTCATCCCATGTACAACTACCAACCACCAGAGCCTTGGCTAAAATGTTTATGCACCACATTGTAAGGTTGCATTTGGTGCCCAGTAAAATAATAACCAACATAGGAGCCCAGTTTGTAGCCAAATTTTGGAAAGAACTCTTGCAGGTTTTGGGGATTACCCGGGGACTCAGAAGCGCCTATCACCCGGAGACTGATGGACAAAGAGAATGTGTCAATCAAATAGTTGAGGAATTCTTGCGCTGCTTTACTAACTACCAGCAGGATATTTGTGCTGAATTGTTGCCTTATGCAGAGTACAGTTATAATAACTCTGTGCATAGCTCCACAGGGTTTTCTCCTTTCAAAGCAATGCATGGCTATGAAGGCACCCCTTTGCCCACCATAGGTACCCCAGCACCTGGCATGGGAGACCTCCAGAGTTGGTGGCAGGACTTGAAGGACCAGTGGGCTGTCATCCAAAAGACTCTTGACAAGGCCAAAGTGGATTACAAAACTCAGGCTGATAAAGGGCGAGCTCCTGAGTGGGATTTACAACCTGGGGACTCTGTGTACCTATCCACAAAACACTTGAGAGGGCTCCAACCCAAACAGAAATTGGGTTGGAAATATGTTGGTCCTTTTACTGTGATACACAAAGTGGGGGAAGTTGCTGTTGAACTTGATTTGCCCAAATCTCTTAAAGATGGGCACCCTGTATTTCATTTCAGTCTGCTGAAACGGGCCCTGGGTCCCAACGAGTGGAGACCGCGACCACCAACCCCTCCACCTTTGATGATGAATGGTGAACCACACCAAGAGGTGGAAGAGATTTCGGATTCTAAGCTGAAGCGTGGCTGCCTTTATGATCTTATAAAATGGACTGACTTTGACCCCTCTCATAATGAACGGGTGCAGGACTCTAAACTTGTGCGTGCTTTTCACAAAATGTATCCAAATAAGCCTGGTGGGTAGAATCTTTGGGGAGGCAGAATGTCAGCTAGGCCTTTCTCAAGGGCTGGCTGCCGTGGGGGTGGGGGTGGCTCTGGAGTGTTAAGTTTCAGTTCTGCTGTGTCTTCTATGTTTCTGCTGTCTCTGACCTTCAGTGCCTGGTGTAGCGTTTCTCTAGGGCGTTACTTTGGCGGGCTTCTGCCTGATCCCTGATTGGCCCTGGGTGATCAGGGGTTCCCCTTGAATGATGTATAACTGCTTACTGTGCGCACTTTTCTTTAGTTCTAACACGAAATGGTTAAGATATCTGCATACTCATAAAGTCTCAATAAACTTTACTTCTTTGAATGAAAGCTCTGGAACGGATGGCTGCAGGAGTCTGACATCTGGGTGGCAGAAAGGGACAATCCTTGGCCCCAGTTCAAACAAGAGATACTCTTTGGTTTTGAACAAGCTGCACACGGGCCAGATCTAGTTTCGTAGTTTTTCCTGCAGCAATTCAGAGTCTTGAAGAGAAAAACCTACTTTTTAAACTGAACAGTGGCTTGCCTCTTCAGTAGAGGGAACCGCTGTAATAAAAACAGCAAACTTTGGCTACACATGGAGGGAAGAAAAAAAATTCTGGGTGGCCTTTGTGTTTCCAAGAGAAGAAGTAAAAGAAGTCTTTTCATTTAAATTAATGTTACTGAATAGATTTTCATATCCTACTAATGTAAATGTAGAGTACCAGTCATTTGGAACATCAATCCGATAATTGGAAGAGGTTTCAGTCCAGGAGAGGATAATATTGGAGAAAGGCTTCTGAATGAAGCTCCAAGTGTAACTTAGACTCTTCTAGAGTCATGTTCTCAGTTCTTTCTCTCCTCTTAGACCAAAGCTTTGCACTCCTTTGCAGCTTGCTGCTGGAGTACACTGAGCAAATGTTATTTTGGGGAGAGAGGGAGTTGCAAAATACAATGGCTTGGATCCTATGACATTGTTCCTCTCACACTTTTCTCTGCGTGCTGTGGAGGCTTTCCTTCACTGCTGCGCTCATTTCCTCTGCTGCTATCATTTCTGCATATGCAAAATCAGTGTTTCACAAGGAAGCTGATGCACGTGGAAGGGCTAGTGGCAGAAGAGGAAGCGAGGGCTGCAGCAGACGAAACTCTCTGCTGCAGCCAGAGAGAAGCACAAGGGGAACAATGCAGCCCCGTAGCTAACAACTTTTTGCTCAGGAGGGCCTGCCATTATATGTCTGTGCGGTACTGCGGTGCCATGCTCATACGTCTAAATAATAACTAAATAATAAATACAAGTGGTTTATTGCATACTATAGTCCTCACATATGTATTTTCAGCAAGAAGGACTATAAATCCTCTGTATTTTAATCTATTGTAGTGTATTTCTTTTTCAGAATAGTATATTAGAATACTGAATGTATGCAGTGGATGTTAGGATGTCCCCTTCCTCTTGGCTGGGGGGTGGGGAGTTCACACGGTGAGGGAAAGGAGGCGAAGAAGGGGATGGAGCAAGGCAAGCGCCCAGGCTGCTGCTGCCACCACAGGGGAAAAGGCTTGGACTCAGAGAGGATTGCCCACCGCTGACCCTTCCGGCGCTGCCAACCTCAGAAGGGTGGCGGGGGGGTGGTAGAGAAAGACCACTGCCAAGCCCGCCCCGCGTAACCTGCCCCCGAGGCAGTGAGGAGAGGAGCCCCTGCCCGGCTGGTCTCCAGCAGCAGAGGCCGGGCAGGGGGAGAGAGTAGGATGCCTCCTCCTCCTCCTTATGGCAGCCCAGCTGGCTGTGGCAGGGAGGGAGGCTGGCACAGCAGGTGGCAGCTCTCCCCACTCAGCAGCCCTCCCCTCTGACCTCCCAGCAGCAGCAAGGACGGCCGGGGCAGTAACAGGTGGTGTGGAGTCACCGCCTCCTGGGCTGAGGGCAGGGGGGGGGGGAGCCAAGGATTGGGGAGGGGCCCGTAAAAACATGGCCAGGCCCCATGGGACCCGTGGTAGCTACGGGCCTGGAACAATGTCATAGGGTCCAAGCTGTTGAACTAGAAACTGAAACTGAGCCCTACATGTGTGAGAACTGGTTGACCCATATGGCCTGTGCTGTGCAACCCTGGCTGGATTGCAGGGTGGAGGTTGTGTAGTTCACTGTTGTATCCTTTTACTACCTGCAGAATTTAAATAGTCTCATATTTAATCTCAGGAGTGCCTATTGTGCTGCATCGGTGGCTTCTCTTACCAACATTATCACACCAACACTTTTTGATGGGACAGCAGAATGGATAGCAAGGTGAGAAAATCTCTCTTTGGGTTGCCTTGTGAACCACGAGGCTCCTTGGACGGCTGAGTTTGACTGTGCCAATCTGCCAGAATTAGTATTCTGGTGAATGAAGGGTATTTATTATATGGCTTTCTTGGGGACAAGAATGTGTGTACCATGACTTTTCCTGTATGTGTTGGTTTTTTAATTAGGTGTCAGAACTGGGAAGGTGGGATTGGAGGAGTCCCTGGCATGGAGGCCCATGGTGGATACACTTTCTGTGGATTGGCAGCACTGATCATCCTGAAAAAGGAATACATATTGAATCTGAAAAGTTTATTAGTAAGTCACAGAACCATAGAATCATAGAAGAGTTGGAAGGGGCCATACAGACCATCTAGTCCAGCCCCCTGTCCACTGCAGGACCAGCCTAAAGCATCTCTGGCCAATATCCATCCAGCCTCTTCTTGAAAGCTGTCGGTGAAGGGGCGCTCACCACCTACCTCGGCAGCTGATTCCACCTCTGAACCACTCTGACCGTGAAAAAGTTTTTCCTAATATCCAGCCGATCCCTTTCTGCATGTAATTGAAACCTGTTGCTTCGGGTCCTCTCCTCTGCTGCCAACTGGAACAGCTCCTGGCCCTCCTCCAAATGACAGCCTTTCAAATATTTAAAGAGAGCAATCATATTCTCCCTCAATCTCCTTTTCCCCAAACTAAACATTCCCACAATCCAGTAAGTTCGTCAGACGATCAAAGAAGGAAACCAGGTTGGTCTGACAAGATCTCTTGGGGACAAAACCATGCTGACTTCCCTGGATCACCACGAAATTTGTTTTCCCAACAGTCTGCCACAATGAGCTTTATCCCAAATCTTGTCAAACTGCACTAAGTACAGGGGGCATGCTAGACCGGCTTGGATCCATTCTTGAAAAGCTGTCCTTTCTGAACCTGGTGAGTGCCAAACCATGTTTTGCTTTGGTTGCCATAGTTATCTGGGGGAGGGAATTCCTGTGGGGAGGGGGGTTGAGCGAATGGGACCTTTGCTTCTAGAAGTCATAACTTTCTTCGCAAGTCGCACCTCCTTCCCCAGGGTAAGGAGTCCCTGAGAACTTCTCCGTACCAGCTTGAGCTGCAGATAACCAAGACATATATCTTTCACTTGGTTGGGATGGCAACGTTAGGCATGGTGTGAATGTGACGTATGCCTGGGGGAAGGAAGGGGCTTTTATTTGAATTATCTATATTAAGCTTGTACCACCAAAAGTCTTCAATTCTAACAGGTCCTCTAACCAGTTCCCTATCCACCGAACTGTCCTAATGTCCAGTCCACAGTCTTCCAGTTTTCCCATCAGAATGTCATGGGGAGCCTTATCAAAAGCTTTACTGAAATCCAGGTACATCACATCAACAGAGTTCCCACGATCCAGTAAGCTCATCACACGATCAAAGAAGGAAATCAGGCTGGTCTGACAAGATCTGTTGGGGACAAAACCATGCTGATTTCCCCGGATCACTAAGTGGTCCTTCAGGTGCTTACAGATCGATCCCTTTAAAATCTGCTCTAATATCTTCCCAGCAACAGAAGTCGGCCTGTAGTTTCCCGGGTCATCCTTGTTCCCTTTTTTAAAGATTGGGGTAACATTTGTTCTTCTCCAATCTTGTGGCATCTCCCCAGTCCTCCAGGAGGCCTTGAGGATGATGGACAGAGGCTCTGCACGTTCATTAGACAGTTCTTTGAGCACTCTTGGGTGCACACCATCTGGCCCGGGGGATCTGTATTTGTCCAGTGCAGCCAGGTGCCTCTCCACAACTTCCCTATCAATGTCAGCTGGACACTCAGGTGTCCTGTCATGTCCTCTACCATCTCTAGATGGGCTTGAGTTATTCTTGGAGAAAACAGAGGCAAAAAAGTCATTAAGCCTGTCTGATTTTTCTCTGTCGTCCACCAAAGGTTCTCCTTCTACTCCCAAAAGCAGTCCAATTGCCTCTTTTACCTTGTGTTTGCTTCTCACATATCTGTAGAAGTGTTTCTTATTGTAGCGAGCCCCCCTGACCAGACCCAACTCATACTGAGCTTTGGTTTCTCTGATGGCTGATCTGTAGTACCTAGCAGCTCTCGTATACTCCTCTTTAGGGGTCTGGCCTTCCCTGGACACATTACGTTCCAAACCCCTGAGCAGAGAGTCCCCCACGAGCACCACTTTCCATTTCCTTCCACTTCTGTGCGGCACCATGCCCTCTTCACTCCCTTTTCCAGATCTTTGTGGCTCTCCTTCCACTATCGTCTCCATCACCCTCTCAAGCACCTCAAAATGATTCTTGAGCTCCAGTGGACCAATGGACACTCAGTCGGTGTCTTCGGGTTTGTACCGTAGAACTGAGAGGAGGCTCAGGAGGGAGATCGACTGTTCCTTCTTCTTCTTGACTTTCTTCTTCGTGTGTTTGCAGAGTTCCCAGGCTCTTGTCAATAAAATCCTCCCCTTCCTTGATTTCCTGAAGGGTGGTGATCCTCTCCTGTAGGCTCTGAATGTTCTCCTCCAAAAGCCTGGCCTGCTTACACTTCTGACAAGTGAAGTCCATCTTCTCTTCCGGGAGGAAAATAAACATGGCAGACTCCATGCAGGTGACTGGAAAGGGGCCCTCAGTCGACATCATTGCCATCCAAGCATGTTCCAAGAGTCCTCTGAGCAGAGTTTCGGGGCCCTCAGCAGCTAGGAGAGGCAGAAGGCCAGAAGCCCCTCTCCTTCTGGCAGCCCCTCCCCATGTGCTCCCCACTCCTTGCCTCACGTGTCCCTGGTGTGTGTCAGCCTTGTTCAGCTGCCTTGACTTGTCTGCAGGATAATTCTAGGAGACCACTGTGACTGTCACAAGACCAGGACTTTTGCACACTTTATGAACCCGCTAGATTTCTAGTAGCCAGGACTGTGATGTCTTTTGATCCAGAGCCTTCCTTTGCTACTCTCCACCTATTTAGAAACATCCCCTTGCACCATTTCTAACTGCACACTTAAACCATGTGTACAAGACCACACCTTTGTGCTTTGTATTAATACTATTTTTTAAAAATGCATACAGTTCAAGTATGGATGAAAAATCCCCAGACTTTCCCCATAATCATACGAGAATACGTTTTTAGCTGAGGACTACGTTCCAGTTTTGAGCATGGCTTGTTTTATTTATAATGGGAAAATGTATTTTTGTCTGCAGCAGGAAGCACAGACGTCTTATTTAATCATTCACCAATCACTCCCCTTATTTTTGCTTTCAATAATGATCACACAGCCACTGTGCCAGTCTGCCAGTATTTTGTGTCCAAATTTTGTATGGATCTTTGACTTCCCCATTCTCCTTTTTGAGTACTCATTTGCTAATGCCTTCTTCAGTTTATTTTCTGAAAACCACACTGTGCATGTCAGCATGGGCACACTGGTCTTTGGGTTGTGGTAAACATTCAAACCGCACTCCGAGACATGTGCCAAGGAGCCACGACTGTAGTGGACACGTGCAAAGAAGCCACAGACCTGTCGTGACTCTTGACTGAATTGTGACGAGGGTTGTTTTCTCTTCCTGCCAGGACTGGGTCACAAGCCGCCAGATGCGCTTTGAAGGAGGCTTCCAGGGCCGCTGTAACAAGCTGGTGGATGGCTGCTACTCATTCTGGCAGGCTGGTTTGCTGCCTCTCCTACATCGAGCACTGCATGCCAGAGGTGAATCTGAGCATCATCAACTTGCCGTTTCCTCAGATGTGCTTTCAGTGTTTACCCAAGCTGGTAGATGCACAGGGCTGCTAGGGTTGCTGGAAGCAGAGTTTGGTCACAAGACACAGGTTGAGTGTTTTTAATTATAGATGTATTCACTGAGTTTGTAAAAATGAATGAATGTTGCCTTTTCAATTTTATAGCAGAACCATGAGGGACCCAATGGAAATAATATACTCCACGTTTCAAAATAAGATAGCAGGAAGGGGCCGATGGGAAATTCAGGCTGTGTGGTGCACTCTGATACTGGATATTGGATAGCTGAGCAGGGTAGGGTGGGCTGCCAGTCTTGCCTCTCCTTCCGTTTGCAACCCTCCCCCTCTGGGCACAGGGTGACAGACGGACGGTATTTTTAGCAGAATATACAGTTGCTCGGTGGAGCTGTTTCCTGACAGCAGTAGTACAGTTGTAAAGAAGAACTGTGAAAAATAGGATTATGGATCATTCTTAGGCAAGCTGCTCAAGACATCTGTAATGCTGTGGATTGCAGGGTGCTCTCTTGGTACTCTGCGATGTTAAAATGTTTGGAAATCTCTGGATCTGCCCATTGTCTGAGGCTCAGTTTAAAATGATTGGCACATTTAACCCCTTCCCATTTACCATGTGGGTCTGTGTGTGACCAGCGTTACGTGTAAATCAGGTTACTGGTCTCTTTGGGTGTAGTGTTGGCACTTTATTTATTTATTTATTTATTTATTTTATTTTATTTTTGGGATTTCTATCCCGCCCTACCCAGAGGCTCAGGGCGGCTAACAACAATTAAACAACAGTAATATATACAATAAAATTTGGTGCTACAATCTACATACATTATACACAGATCTATATGCGTTATACACAATACACAGCAACCCCCATTTGCAGTTAGCGTTCTTAATAGCGGAAATGTCAGGAGCAATCATCCCACAGAGTTTTCCGGGCGACATCTACCCCCCACCCCAGGGTACGGCAGATGGATGGTAACATCGCGGTGGCGGTATAGTGGCAGCGGCGGCTCCTACCCAAAGGCCTGGTGGAAGAGCTCCGTCTTACAGGCCCTGCGGAACTGTACAAGGTCCCACAGGGCCCGGATCTCCTCTGGGAGCTCATTCCACCAGGCAGGAGCCGCCACCGAAAACGCCCTAGCTCTGGTCTGGGCCAACCTCACAGCTCGGGGGCCTGGAACTTCAAGGCGATGAAGGTTCCCCGATCGCAGTGCTCTTGAGGGAACATACGGGAAGAGACGGTCCCTTAGATAGGCCGGACCCTGGCCATTCAGGGCTTTAAAGGTGAGCACCAGCACTTTGAAGCGAATCCGGTATGCTATTGGCAGCCAGTGCAGCGCTTGCAGCACCGGCCGGATGTGATCTCGCCTGGAAAGACCCATCAACAGCCTAGCTGCAGCATTCTGCACTAGCTGCAGCTTCCGGATCTGCGACAAAGGCAGCCCCAAGTAGAGAGCGTTATAGTAGTCCAGCCTCGAGGTGACCATCGCATGGATCACCGTGGCCAGGTCCTCACGGTCAAGATAGGGAACCAACTGCCGGGCCAGCCGCAGATGATAAAAGGCTGACTTAGCAGTGGCCGCCACCTGGGCCTCCATCGTTAAAGAGGAGTCCAGGAGCACACCCAAACTCCTAACCTCCCGCACGGGCACCAATGGTACCCCACCGAAGGTCGAGAGAGGATGCCCCAACTCTCGACCGGTCCGACACAGGCCAAGGACCTCCGTCTTTGCCGGGTTTAGCTCAGCAGGCATCATTATCGTGCATTAACACGCCCACTGTCGCTTTTAAATTGGGCCTCAGGCGGAATACTAAACTAGATGAACCAGCAGGCTCGTTGTGAACAGAAGCCCGTGTCCTCCTTTTGAGGCTGTCGCTGCTGGAGCGGTTCCTGTGCCGCTTTTGCTTGCCCCACAGGGAGAGAGCGGCCACTTCTTTGGGCTGCTTGCTTGTCCTTGTACTACCAGTCTTGCGAGGAGACTGCCTGGCAGTGAGCCTGTCTGAGGACAAGGCCAGCGAATGGCCAGTGCTGCTCTGTCCTTGCAAAGAGGAGGAGGAGGAGGAGGAAAAGGATTAGATATTTATGTCCTGTTTTTCTCCCAGTGGGGACCAATGCTCCCTCTAAGCCGTGGAGTCTTGTAGGCAAAAATTCTATTTAGTGAGCTACTGGTGTTAAAGTTGTGAGCGAGCAACTTGCCTGCTGCATAAATCAGTTTGCTCTGAAGCCATCCTTCCTGAGCTGAGACAAAAATCTGTGAGCCGGAGGCTAAAAAACTGGGAGCTAGCTCACACTAACTCAGCTTAGAGGGAACTGGGGACCCTATGAGGTAGGTGAGAGAGAGAGAGAGAGAGAGAGAGAGAGAGACTGGCCCGGGGTCACCCAGAAAGATTCCGTGGCAAAGTGTGTATTTGAACCTGGGTTACCCAGATCCTAGCCAGACACTCTAACCGCTATATCCTGCTGGTGAGGGAGGTTTGGAAAGAGGCATTGCAACACCATGTTCCTGTGAAGCTTAACTGTACTCTGTGCTCCTGTTGGTCTGTTGTGCTGATGCCAGCTTAGCTATTCTTCCAGTGGGCACTTCAACACTCCCGTTGTCTTTGTACCTCTTAGGTGAAACTGCCCTCAGTATGACACACTGGATGTTCGACCAGCAAGCGCTGCAGGAATACATCCTGCTATGTTGCCAGTGTCCTGCAGGGGGCCTCTTGGACAAACCTGGAAAGTAAGTATCTTTGGGCATTGGCTGATTCTTCACAGGAGGCGTGACTTGGATGAAAGTTATGACTTCTGGAAGCAAAGGTCTCATTCTCTCACTCATTCACTCAACCCCCCTCCCCACAGGAATTCCCTTCCCCCAATCGCTATGGCAACCGAAGCGAAGCGTGGTTTGACATTCTGCCCCCTCAAGCATCACCTTGCCCGCCAGGCTTGAGTGGGTTACGTTTATGAAAGGCATGAACTAATTGGGCAGCTTTTACGTGCTGAGACTGCACCCATTCATTATGGGCCGGGTCAAAGTCTTTCCATTTGACCAGATAGAAGAGGCACCCCCTCCTCAACTTAGGATCTAAAATGTCCTCCACTTCTGGGTGCATCTCGCCGTCGACCATTAGAGGAGGAGCAGCTGGTGGACGTGGTTTCCACTTCGAGGGTCCAGGATCGCTCTTCAGTAGACTGAAATGAAACACAGGATGCACATAACGGAGTGTTTTTGGCAACTCTACTTCCACAGCCACTTTATTGATAAGCCGCACCACTTTGAAAGGGCCTATGTATTTCCACCCCAGTTTTTCCCGTTTGCTTAGGTGTTTGGTGGAAATGTACACTGAGTCCCTAGGCTTTAAGTCCCATTCTGGTCTCCTCCCTTTGTCAGCATAGCGCTTGTAATCCTCTTTTGCTTTATCCAAAGTCTTTTGGAGGTCTGGCCATCCCTGAGTCAAGCTGGACCACCATGTCTGGGCATCCCCCGGCCTTGGGTGGTCAGGGTAGGGAGTGGTCCCCCTTCATAGTCATGGACCACCTTGAAGGGAGAAATGCCAATGGAACTATGCACTGACTTGGTATAACTGTACTCTGCAAACGGTAGCAAGTCTACCCAGTCGTCTTCTTGATCGTTAATGAAACACCTTAAAAACTGCTCCAAGACCTGGTTAGTCCCCTCAGTTTATTCGTCAGTCCCGGGGTGGTAGCCACTACTGAGCCCCTGCTCCACCCCTAGGAATTTCAACAGTTCCCTCCAGAACTTGGCAACGAACTGGGACCCGCGATCCGAAATGATTTTGTGTGGCAAAGCATGGAGCCGTGCAATATGTTGCATGAACAACGGGGCCAATCTCTTGGCTGTAGGTACCTGCCTGCATGGTACAACATGAGCCTGTTTTGAAAATAAGTCCACCGCCACCCAGATCACTAGCTAGGGTGTAAGTCAGTAATGAAATCCATGGAAATCACTGACCATGGACGGTCCAGGGTTTCTAGCGGCTGCAGCAGCCCTAGAACTTTTCCTGCCCACCATTTACACATCAGGCAGGTTTGGCACGATGCCACATAGTTTGAGATATTCCCCCTCATGCGTGGCCACCGGAACTGCCTTGGTATGAGGTTCAAAGTCTTTAAATAGCCAAATTGCCCCAACAGCTTATTAGCATGTCCCACGGTCAACACGTCTCTCCTGAGAGTCTCCAAGACAAACTGTTTATTTTGTCGGTACCAGCACCCATCGTCCCTTTGGGTCAACATCCCATCTTTCTCGATTTCTGCTTTGTCTTTATCAGAGAGGGCAGCTTTGAATTTTTCCACCCACGGCTGCAAGTTGGCAGGGCCCCCCCCACCCTTTCACTTGGCTGCGCGTCACCACAGCACCTCCTAGCTGAGTAGGCGTGAACATAGTGTCTACTACCTCATCACGCTGGCTGGTGTGTCGAGGGAGGTGGGACAAAGTGTCAGCCAGAAAATTTGACTTGCCAGGGAGGTGCTTCAGCGTGAAACAAAACTTTGAAACAAACTCTGCCCATCGAAGCTGTTTGGTATTCAACCACCTAGGGGCCTTAAGGGCTTCCAGATTTTTGTGATCAGTCCACACCTCAAATGGAACCCTAGCCCCTTCCGACCAGTGCCTCCAAGTGACAAGGGCAAGTTTGATGGCGGCCGCCTCCTTGTCCTATACTGCCTTTCAGCACTGGAGAACTTCTTTGAAACATATGCCAAGGGGTGTAATTTTCCATCCTCCCCCCTTCGCAAGATGGACCCCTCCATGGCCACATCAGAGGCATCAACCTGTACAATAAATTGCTTTCTTTCATCAGGGTGGTGCAAAACAGGTTCTGAAGTAAAAAGAGTTTTCAGTCTTTCAAACGCCTGCTGGCACTCCGGGGACCAGTCAAGGCGGCTGTAGAGGCTCTTTCAGGACTTCGCACACTAACTTCGCATGTGTGTCCTTATCTTCCGAATATATCAACACGTCATCAAGATAAACAACCACCCCTTTAAACAGGTACTTGTGTAGCACTGCATTGATGAATAAACACCCTGGGTGCTCCAGCCAACCCAAATGGCATGACCAGATATTCAAACTGCCCCAGCAGCATGTTGAAAGCAGTCTTATGCTCATCACCCTCCCAGATGCACATTCTAAAATATGCATCCCTTAAATCCAACTCGGTAAAAATCGTTCCTTGGGATGCCTCAGACAATAGGGGGGAGGCGTTAGACATAGACACTTGTCCCTGTAATCCGTACACAGTCTTAGGCCCCCGTCTTTTTCCTGAATAGCACTGGGGCTGCAAAAGGGGAGGTGGCCGGCTGGATAAAACCCCTGCTCAAGTTCTTGTCAGTGAACCTCTGCAACTCCTCCTCCTCTAATGGTCGATGGCAAGATGCACCCAGAAATGGAGGACATTTTAGATTCTATCTGGTCGAATGGAAAGACTTTGACCCGGCCCATAATGAATGGGTGCAGTCTCAGCACGTAAAAGCTGCCCGATTAGTTCATGCCTTTCATAAACTTAACCCACTCAAGCCTGGGGGGTGAAGTGATGCTTGAGGGGGGCAGAATGTTAAACCACGCTTTGCTTTGCTCACTTTGGTTGCTAAACATTCCCAGTCCCTCGGCCTTTCCTCATAGGGCTTCTTGGTCTCCGGGCCACCGATCATCCTCGTTGCTCTCCTCTGTACCCGCTCCATTCCGTCCGCATCCTTTTGGAAGTGAGGCCTCCCCAGAACACATGAAGCTACTTTATAGTGAGCTAGACTATGTATAGACTAATACAGTAATATCTGCTTTGATGGGCAACAGATGTCCAGGGTCTCTGGTAGAGGAAGTCCATTCTTTCCACAAAAAGCTTGGCTCCTGGTTTCAGCCCTCAGGTCCATTCCCCCCCAGGGAGTTGGGCCTGCTGATCATTTCCAGTGAAGGAAGGGGTGAGGTGATTTTTGCTGATCCACCCCCACCCCAGCAGACCTCCAAGTCTCCCTCATTTTCTCCAGGAGCAACATCTTGGGGGGTATTTTGGGCTGTAGCAGGAAGAAGGGAGGGTTGCAGAGAAGCTGAGCTCCATCCACGGAGAGTGACAGAATCTGAGCCAGTATTGGCTGGAGGGATGTGCTCTGCTTATGAGGAAGTCGGAGGGGAAGGCAGCTGTTCTGTGAGAGTGCATGGTGGCTGTCTGAATGGCACGTTTTGTTTCTGGCTTGCCTTACTACCGAGCATTTCCCCACCCATCTAGGTCACGGGACTTTTACCATACCTGCTATTGCCTGAGTGGGCTCTCGATAGCGCAGCACTTTGGCAGTGGGGACCTCCTCCATGAAGTCGTGCTTGGAGTGCCAGAGAACCGCCTGGTAAGCTAGGCCCGGTTGAGGGGCTGTCCCTTTGCCACCTGGCAGGCATTCTCTCTCATCATCGACTTCCCTGCCTTTCTTCTCATAGAAGTGATAGTGGTGAATAGTCACTTGAATGAATGGGGAATCGGGGGTGTGCGTGGGGGGCAGGTTTTACCTCTTCATAACTTCAATGAGCACAAAATTACACATTCTGTATCACTTTCCCCTTGTTTATTTTTAAAAGAATACATCCTGGCGGTACATTTTCCCCTGGTGGAGGGGGTAAAAGCAACTTGGGGGAATGCTGATTTTTGGCAGGAAAACAGTGCAAGTGGAAATAGAACTAAATCATTGTCCCCCTTTACTTCACAGCCCCAATAGTTGCATTCTGAATTTTGTTATGCATTTAAAGTTGGGGAAGATAATCACAGGACGACACCATGTGTAGGGCAGAGAGCAGCAGTTGTCCTGTCTGCTAGAAGAATGGCAAATGGATTCCATTTGCTTTGATGGTAGAAAAGAACAAGATGGCTCACGGAGGCAAGGCCCTTCCGTGCTGGTGGCCTTTTGCCACCTTTACGTCCTTCTTACCCATTGTAGTGCCTCTGCCTGCCTCTAGCCTGTCCGTATTTTTCAGGCAGTGCCGGCGGCTGCTTCAGAGGAGGGGCAGGGGTGAGGCAGTGACGCAGAAGCCCAGCCTGGGGCAACAATCCACAGGCATCATAACAGCCCTTGATCAGAGCTGCCCTCCTTACAGTAGCTTTCCAGAGCCAGAAACTGGCCTGAAAAATGCATGGCCCTGTGCCTGTGTACCCTGGCCTCCTTAATAGGGGAAGTGGAAGTGGCTGGTCCTACTCTACTGCTCAGTGATATTTCACTAGTGAAATGCACCAGTAATTGGGCATAGATCTATGTGGTGTCAGCATCTAAGGCCACACAGTGGCCACATTTGGCCAAGTTGTAACGCACACTTTAATTTCAGACAAGTGCAGTAGGGTGTTTTTTTTTTCCCCTGAGGGGGAAGAGAAGACAAAATTCGCAGCAGCAGGAAGAATAGCCACTCCAGATATTTGGGGTTGGGAGCAATGTTTCCTCTAAACTCCACAGTGTTGTGAGCAAAAATCCTACCTTGTGAGTGAAAAAAGCTGGTAGCATTAAAGCTGTGAGCAAGTCTGCATTTGACTATCACATAAATTAATTTCTAAGAAGATTATTTCCATAACCTTGTAAAAAATCTCAGAATGAATTCTTCCAAACTATGTGTAAACTCTATCTTAAGAATACTTTAAACACTATAAGAGAAAACAGAATCAAGTCAAATTTTATTACACAATATGTTGTCCTCTGTGGGTAGACCAGGCCTCTGGAGAACAGGTCTAACCGCCCCTTTCCACTACATTGGTAGACCTGGCCTCAGACCATCACCCTGCACTGAGCCTCAGAAAACACACCAGCACTTTTTTTTTGGGGGGGGGGGACATGTTTGCATTCTATTTGGGGTTTTTTCTAGTAAAATATGCATGTTTGCAGTCTACTTTGGGGTTTTTTCTAGACAAATATGACAAATTTACAGGTCAAGTATAACAGAGGTGGAACAATCACTGTCAAACTTGGCCGTTCCTAACCTAACAAACAGGAAGTTGTTTAAATGTTATCAACCTGCCCAAACAACTTATTTATTCAAATATTTATATCCCACTTTTACTGTGACTCAAGGCCTCTAGCAAATCATACTGAAAAGCATAAGGGGGGGGGGAATCGATTTTCCCCGCTCCATTATAGCCTACTAGGAGGCAGGTCCGTTGTAGGAGCCAGACAACGGGTGCTAGGAAGACGTGAGAGGCCCCTGCACCCCCAACCTCGCATGGCCCAGTGAGACCCCGGCAGCGGCTGTCGGGTCACAGGGCGGCCAGGCACAGTTGCTGTGGGCTGCGGACAGCCGGGGCGGTGGGAGGAGCTGCGTTGGACTGAGAGCTCTTTGCGTGGCACGCGGTGATCGGGCTGGATGTTGCTGCTTAGGAGAAGGAGGCCCATCCCCCCACCTTGGCCCCCTGGTGACAGGTTAGGCTCGAGGGGCGATGGAAGGGGGCGGCAGGGGCTGCCTGGCCAGCAAGGCAATAGCAGCGTGGGGCGGCTCCAGCGGTCTCCATGCTAGCGGCGCACTGGCCCCCGTGCACTGACAGGCCAGGCGGCGAGGTGGATTACAGCTCAGGCGGGGACGACAGGCGCGGCGGTGGGAGGATTGCCCTGCGGTCCCTGGCTCCCCCCCCCCCGACTGCAGGGTGGAGGGATGAGGGAACGGAGTGCCACTGGTTCCCTGGCTGCTGGGGTGCCGGCGTCCCGTGGGCTGCCAGCGTTGGCCCAGCAACCCCTGCCTGGTGGCAGAGCACCCAGCTACCTGGAGGCTGCCTGGGGCGATGATGAACACTGTGGTGGCGCCAGGATTGATCTGGGGCTCACACACGTCCCTGTGCCGGAGCATCCATCCCGGCCAGCGGCTCTGCGCAGACTGAGGGCGAAAGGTTGCCTGGTGGGGCTGAGGTGACGGAGGGAGGCAATGGAGGGGGAAATGCTTGTCAGCTGGAAGCTAACATCCCTGAGCAGCCAGCTAAAATTCTGTGCACCAGTGCCCCCTAGCGCAGCTTAGAGGGAGCACTAGGGAGGCAGTGGGGATAATGGGAAAGATAGCTGTTTGGCACAGCACAACAGTCTTGTCTTCCAGATATGGGAGAGTCCGCACAAAGCTTTCTCATGTTTTCTTGTCTTCAGCTGCTATGACCTATCTACGTCTGAGCCTGGTTTTCTTGCTGTGCATTAACATTAACCAGTAAAGGTTGCATTTCTTTCTGGGCACTCCTTACTTGTCTCATGGGGATATTTTTGCCTCATCGTCACCTTTAATTATTTAGTTCACTTGTTTCACTAACAGCGTGCCCTTCTATAGAAGTAGGAACAACTTACTTGCAGTCTAACCAGGGCTATGTGCATTCCTTGTTTCCACAGCATTCAGGATGTTTGGCTTCTAACTGTAAAAAGCAAACCTCTAGCCTCTACATCTGCAAAGACGAACTTCAAACTTTTTGGATACTGTGTAGTCTCAGCAGCTAGAGCAGTGTTAGGCAAGACTTCAGTGTTCTGCACTGATTTGCATATCCATTGAAAGTGAAATTTATGTTAAAAAGCTGTGTAACACGTGTTGATTGCTGGAAATGACTGTTCTTGCTGTTGCGTTGGGGAGGCAGAGGTGTTTGGGGTTTTAAACTTTCCCAACTCTCATTCCTTTTTGTCCCCCTCTCTCCAAATCAGCGGCCTACACATCCTGTATACAACATCTCCCCCGACAAAGTGGTGCAAGCTGCGATGTACTTTCTGAAGAAGGCTGTTCCAAACAGAGAGGAGGCAACTGCTGCCGATTAGGAGGGGGCGGGGCTGCTGCCCTTGTTGGGTGCTGCATGGCGCATCTTTCTCCCATTCAGCGTCTGGCGCGGCAGATCGCCTCAGCCATCCTGGAGCCCATCCAGAGAGTTAACTTTCTCGATCTCACATAACTGGGCTCAACTTTGTGTGTGTGTCTTTTTCGTGAGAGCTCTGCTAGCCATACCAAAACCAAACAGGGCCAGGTACCTAGTAGATTGGCTGCTTGGGGGTGGATGGTTAGATGTGCTGGTTGCTCACTAGCAGGTGTGGTTTTGGTTTCCAAAAAAGGAGCATGTTAATATTTTTAGCATCTGTCAAACCATCCCTGTTGTTGCACTCGCACTCTGTTAAGCATCTTAGGAGGGCAGCTGCTCTACACTGGCCTGACTGCAGATGATGCCCTGATCCAGATGCCCTTTAGGCCATCTGAGTTTTGTCCATTTTACGCTCCCGGTGGTATTTCGTGCACTAAGGGCCAGGCGCTGAGACCCCAGCTTATCAACAGAAGACTATATTCCAAGTCAGCAGGTCAGAAATAAACAAGTTGGACAAAGAATA